ACGAGCGGTCAAAGAATTTACGGTTCAAGAGGAAGCGTTGGGTTATTTGTTTCAGGTGGTGACCCAGGCATCGAACGGAAGGAGCTAGGGTCACTAATAATTCTCACGATCAATCCCTCTCTGTCCATATTAGGTAAGTGCGAATGAGATTCCGTCGAAGTCGTCAGTATTCTGTCTAATACACATTGAGTGAACGAGGGCGCAGTTCCTAAATGAGATCGCATAATTCCCATGTTGGCTTGGTAGCTCTTTTTGGGCAGCAGGAGAGATAAAAGTCTAGTTTTAACCACAGACACCAGGCTTGCATTCCATACTCAACGTAGGGACGAATATACGAGTGGATCAACAGCAGTACTAGCCTTTACTCCGAGGCACCAAGAGCTCGTCTCAGAAAAAGTGAGTTCACATTCTTCCAATTTGGCGCTGTAGAACATTAGCGCAAACAACACAGAATTTCTTGGACGGTGATACATAAGTCGCTTTTACTACTTACGTACTGTAACAGGTTCGGTCCTGGTTGGTGTGAGTACATTAAGTTGTTGCTCACTGTTAGCAGGTAACATTTTGCAAGGCTCAGTGGGAGCTGGTTCACTTTTGCCCATTCGTTCCTCCGGTCCAGATCGTTATGGAAATGGGCACGGTCGGATATTGAGCGAATAACACAAAAGTTCCTGGCCCTATCTGCAAATATGTGTATTGGAGATTGTATAGTTACTGTGACGTCATTGATGTGGCAAGCCAAAGACATATCCATGAGGCACAACAGTGGACACCTACAAGCTCTTAGAGTGTGTGCCAACAATTTATGCTGTGATGGCTGTCGCGTGTAGATAACACGCCAAATAGGTGAGAAAGGAGCCGGTGATCCCGTAGCCACTAAAACACTTAACAGAACGGAATGGTTGATTCCGTCGAATTCACCGGAAAGGTCTAACTAGCGCACATTTATGGGAATACTCATCAGCTGTCATCCATGAGTCAATAACCAAAACATACTACTGAGACTGGATCTTCTGCGCCTGAAACCACGTTAAAGACTGGCAGTGATTTGCAGGCTTCAAAATAAAACGTCATTTCGTTTACGATTAACGACTGCATAACGTTTGCTAAAACAGAGAGAAGAATAATAGGTCGGTAGTTATCAGATTCTGATAGATTAACTCCATTGAATATCGGAGTAATGCTACGCTTTTTCAATTCAGATGGGAACGTATGGGATTCAAGTAGGCACTAGAAAAGGCAGCAAGCGGTATTGCTAAGGTAAGAGCAAGGTTTTTGAGCATCTTTGGAAATATCTTGTCGATACTAATCGCACTGGTTGCCCGGACGGCCTACAGGCTGTTTGTGACAGCCACTAGGAAAATATGACTCGTTAAACAAATGGCATTTGTTGGGCTAGAGAAGAGACGTATCTATGGTTTTTATAGAAATTGAGTCAACCGTACAAGTATAGCGTACAAGGTATTCTTAGCAGTATTTGTTCGGTCGTGGTATTCCTACCCTAACCTCCCTGGAGTCATTCCTATCCTCCTAAAGTAGTTTGACATTAGATGTAAATTTAAGTACATTCGCCTCTTGCCATTTGTAATTGATGGCTTTGATGAGGAAACTGCAGTAGTTTCTAACCCTTATAAACTTGCAAAATTGAAAGAAGGAACAACATTTCGACGAGATAACCTGAATTCAGCTATTTCACATATTCTCCACAGCTATTTATACACAATTAGTGGAATGAATAGGCTGGATACGAAAACAATCAAGGTGTAATGTTAATGCTTAATAGAAGGCGGTCAAAGTTCCTCTGACACTGTCTGGCATTCCGCTTAGGGAAACAGGGCCACCAGTCTCACCAAGGCGAAGTGTGATAAGAGACGAAACGGCCTGTTTATTGAGAGTGGGTTTCAGTGGCCTAATTGCCGAAGTCAAAGCAAACTGAAACAGGTGAGCAGCGCTCCATTGATTGACCATACTAAATGCTTCACGTGGGTTTTTACACAAGGGGCAGTCAAGGTTGTGTCGGGCAACTGAATAGATTGACAGCTTTGGACCATTTGCGACCAGATTTGGCGGAATATACTCTAAAATCTTTGCGGTCAGTCTCCTCTCAGTTTGACCGATGTACTCTCTACCGCAAGTCATTTGGAACATCATCATCATCATCATTATACATGTCAGCTAGAGATGGTAAAACACCTCCGCTATTGTACCGCAATACATAAAGGAAATACATACATACATACAATACATAAAGGAAAAATAAATACGACAGTTGAATGCCAGCTGAGCTACCAGCAACGGATAGGCATCGTTCCGGTAAGCTACTAGCCGGCTACTAGGCAAAAACAACAATTTAATTACGTTTTACCCTATGAGATAAGATCGTAGATGGAGGGGGAGGCTAAAGGGATGGGGAGGGACAAAGAAACTCACAGCAGGAACGCCACTGAGGTCGGCTCCTTGTCATATCAGCAAGTGTATCCAGCCAAACGTGTTCACCATCTTTTGGACCCCAACCAGGGAGCCGTGAAGCTCCAACTGAGGCCAGCTCCGAAGTGAGGGCCTTCATTCCTCTGGACCAAGTCATCACTTGGCCACCTCTCCTCTTCCTCCACCCACATCCCCGGTGAGCAAACAGCGCACGTCGAGGGAGTCGGTGGGCTGGCATGCGCAACACGTGGCCGAGCCATCGGAGCCTGGTGAGTGAAATGACGGTGCTGAGCGGTTCATTCCCTTTTCTTAGGCCGTAAACAAGGCGTCGAACACGCTCGTTACTCACGCGGTGTTCCCACCAGATGTGAGCCAAACTGCGAAGGCACCGATGGTCGAACGTAAGTAGCCTCTTCATGTCCGCCGATCTTAGGGGCCAGGTTTCGCAACCGTACAGTAAGGTCATTTGGAACAAGTAAATGTAGGAAGCTGTAACTGGAAAGTCTGGCTTGTCCAGATTGAATTTACATAGCAACTGCCTAACTTGGTGCAAGAGTACAAGCTGAAAAGTGTGACAGCAATTTTTATCGATTGAAGGAAGCCATATCGGAATCTCCTACTATTTTTGGCTCCTTTGCATGGCATCGTTTTTCCTAGGGACGTCTATCACCCGTCTGTATTTAGTATTCCCGTTCGCGTTAGAGTGCCGTGCTATGAACATCTCGGGATATCCGTTTTCCCTTCCTGTCGAGGAGACACATTGCAACTCCCATTTGATCGTTTCCTCAGAACAGATATGGTGAGCTCTTGCAAATATGACACGAACGACAGTTCGTATGTAATTCACAGGACAGTAACTGTTACATATAAGGCATCGTTCTGTTCAGGTAGGTTTGCGGTGAACAAGTCGAATGAGGGCACTAATCCTCTTTCTTATTAGGCAAACATTTAAAAAGATGGATAACTGCAGAAGATTAGTTCTTGGCTGAAAATTCGATCGCGGGGGTGACAGTTGTTTTGAGCCAACGGTAGGTGTTCTGCTTTCTTGGCGGTGTCTACAACCACCATATTGTCATCTACATAGCGGCTATATGAATGCAAGTTTTGTACGTAAGGACGCAGCTGAGTGTTTTCCAGATAGATCATAAAGTTATTAGCCAAGACAGGCTTAAGTGAACTACCCATGATTACACCAGCAGTGGGTGCGGAAATCCTCATGAATCATTCAGGATGATCAACCAACAGAGTACCGCCCACCTCTTTCAGTTTTCTGTGGCTTCGGCGATTAAGCGGCTGGGACCCACTCTGAAAATGCAGTCCGATTTGTCTGATGTCACATCTTGCCTTGGTGGGAGGGGTGGCCCCGTTTCCCTAAGCGGAATGCCAGACAGTGTTAGAGGAATTTTGACCGCTTTCGAGTAAGTATTGACGTTACAGCTTGATTGTCTCCGTATCCAGCCCATCCATTCTAGTAATTGAATGTAAACGGCTAACGAGAATACGCGAAATAGCTAAATTCAGGTTATCACTTCGAAATATTGCTCCTACTTGCAATTTTAAAATTTGCAACGGGAAGGTCTCGTATGATATTTTGTACTGCTTCCACGGTATCTCATACTCTTTTTGCGTAGGTTACCTAATAACCTCGTTTCTACTGGAGATTCATTCACGCGTCTTGCTTCGGATCCAGATGTTGGTTTGGTGCGATGCTCACGCAGATACACCAGTTGAAGCTACTTAGGTGACTCTGCTGATTTCCCCATTAATGCATTCCATTTGTCATTCAACGAACTTTGCAGGTGAGCTTCAGTCAAAGGTTTATGCCTGGTTGTAAAACTTGTAGTCAGTAGTAACGCGTCGACGTTTTCCTCTTTCAGCTGTAATACTGGCATAACACAACTAGACGAAGGTTAGAACTGAGCGATCACTGCTACCTATTGAAGGGTCGTATGAAGCTTACCCAAGCAATAACTTTTCATTAGTCAAAAATAAGTCCAGTAGTGGTCGATTGTTCGAACCGCAGTCTCTGGTTGGTCGATTCAAATGATTATACATGACCCCCGTGTTCATTAACGTAACAGTTTTGCTATGAAGGAAAGCGCACTGGAAAAGCTGATACTACTGAAAGTCCATTGAAATCCCCGGTTCCAAGTTAGCGAGTGTACTTTGTGATCTCTTAGCGAAATGTAAACATGATGAGTCCAAACCAGGACCAAACCGTCAGTAGTGAAGAGCAGTGTTGGGAGTGATCAACACCGAATACCCTCCACCTCGGCTTGGGCGAAACTCCTGTTCACATATTTAGCTATATCGTCCTTTCGCTTTTAGGACCGAAACGGTGGTCCCATTACTGGTATTGCCCCACGCATAATTCTATTATGGAACTCTTCACCTGATTACTGAATCATGTCCGTGGTATGTAAAAATGTTCCACTGCTTTGCATGTACAAAGTTTCATTTTCAATTATTCCAGTTCCAAAAGAGCGGCAGTTAACTTTGCCATTGGGCCGCTCTGGGTCTAAATACTTTCCACCAGACTCACATAGTCCAAGACCAATGCAATCCGCACTCACCTGAGTTGCCTCTGGCTGAAATGCATTGAAAACGTCATAGGGTAGGCAGGAGAGCAAATCAACCATGAACCACCCTTTGAGATAATTGATGCGTATGATTGCTGCATCCGAGATAACTTCGCCGTTGGGACCGACAAAAGTAGTGTGAAAATTCAAAACGATATCGATAAAAAATATGACGTCTACTATGCTATCCACAACCAGAAAGCTAACGTCATCCATAGTTTTGCTCTTAAATGCAGCGTTGAATGGGACCATAACCGCAGTATATCCAGTGAGAAATAAGATTATCCAATCCCAGGTGGTTTTGAAGGCCACGTAGTGCAGTATAATATGAGGAGGTGTCTTTGGAGCTTCTTGTTTGTACGGCGGTACCAGTTCAAGCCAGGCAGAAGTATTCTGTGAATGTAGAAATGTAAATGAATTACGCAATACAGTGTGCGAGATGAAGACCTCTGAAAACGTAGACGATTCATCAACGTCTTTAGTTTATATAGATACCAGAAAGTGTATCCCACAAAAACAGCTCACTCAAAGTAGGTGACGTAATTCCCGAAAGTACTTATATTGATATAGGCTATTGGATTGTTTAAGCATGAGAGACACAATGCTTAGGGCTATCTCTATCCTATGCGCGGCACTGATACGCGTGCCGGGGAAGGGTGAGATGCGGTAACTAACAGTTATTAAATTAGTCGTGTAAGTCCTTGTCGCTACCCGTTAACCAGTGGCGTATGCTGCCGGCCACAAGTGAAGCGCTTCTAGAGACGAATCCAAAAAGAATCTGCGTTGCTGACCTGTCGCGATAAGATGAAACTGTCTTCTGGCACAATCCTTATAGCTGAGGCTGTAGGACTACGTCCAAAAACAAGGAAGATATTTAGCAACTGGGTAGCTGCGCACCAACGTTTACGTTACGTTAACACATACCGTCGTTTCATCCAGATTATTCAACACGCATGACGTAGGGTGAGAAGTTGACTGTTCTACTTTGAATAATTCCCTGATGGTGCATTCGAATTGAAACAAGGAGCGGTACACAAAGCATGGAGTATGAGTCTTATGCTGTGATCTTGCGACGGATAGCCTTCAGCTACGATATTCTAGCAGCAGTGAAATTACGCAGGGAGGTGCAACCGATTATAAATATGTATGAGATCAGAAAATAAAGTGACCGTTCAGTCAGTTCACGCGGTCCTGGGAGGCAAGTCGCTGCAAGCTTTACCGAATGCGAAGACAATTTGTCATGTGGACCATGGAACAGGTAGATGGGGTAGTTTCCTGCTGACACGATTTGAGCAAAGTTCTTGGGTATTGCGACGTGCTGTCGTATTGTTCATATTTTATCGTTAAATACCATGCGCCTCGTGCAGAGGCGCGTACGAATCATGGTTCCAGCAATTCTAGCTGTTTGTACAGCTATGTTTTTCAGATCTACTGGTGAAAACTTATTGAACGTTGGGTATTTAACCAGCAGGGTTACTAACTTTGATAGGAAAATGCTTGTGGAGTCTAATGAATCCAGCTTGGCTCATAGATGGTGTCTTCCAAAGCAGCCACGGAACAATTTGTCATCCAGTGCTTGCCCAGAAGTCCAGTCAGCTTCAATCACTTTTAGTCTACCCTCCAGGATCAGCGGCAAACCGCACCCTTTGATTGAGCAGCCGACTAATCTGTCGCACCACGTACGTGAACACGCCTGTAGAAGACGGGCGTGCGACCGACATTAAGCATTGCCTCACTGCTGACCCCGGAAATTGCAGCGACTCACATAGTTTTGACCAGAGGAGTACAGCCAACATGCCGAACATAACGCGATGCTGCGTGGGCTCCTCAAAGTATCGCGGCAAAGTCTATAAGATGGGGATAATATGATGTCCAGACTGCATTAGACCCTTCCATCGGAAATGTATAAAAAAGTCCGTCCAAGAAGTGAGGCAGATAAACAAACTAGCCGACGCATTTTGGTTTTGTCCTGCATGTCAATTACTTCAAGTTGTCAACTATTTACGTATCATCATCATCATCCGCATAACCATCATACACGTTTGCTAGAGGTGAAGCATACCTCAGCTATTGGGCAACAGTACATAAGAAAAGAAAAAAGCATGCAACCGAGACACACCGGTTGAGTCATCGGTGACAAATGGACGTCGTTTCGGAGAGCTAATAGCCGGCCATTATGTCGCAACAGAGTTACATTCTCCCTAGTACATTCGATGGTGACTGGAGGGGAGGCTAAGCGAGAGGGGGTGGGACAATGAAATTCACAACCCAAATATCACTTAGGTCGGCTCCTTGCAATGTCAATACGTCTATCCAACCAAACGTGTTCATCGTCTTTCGGACACCAACCAGGGAGCATAGAGGCTTCAACCGAGAGCAAGTTGGAACTAGGTGACTTCATTCATCCTGGCAAAGTCAACGCTTGGCCACGCTACCCTTCAGGGAGAGCTTGATGTGGCGCCAGCGCCATAGTTGGTAAAAGCTAGCAAAAGCGCTCCGTGCTTTTGCTACACAGGTTATGATTACGTTTTCGATTTCAACGGCGCCGATACGATTGTCTAGGTATTATAACTTTTGATCGACGTCTAGTTGGTCCACATCAAAAGTCAGCGCAGGAATTGATCCCTGCCAAAACAAAAGAAAGCTTTGCAATTTGAGGGTAAAAAGCAAAGCCCGAAACGGCTGACAGCCAATGATAATCTGTTCATTGCCGGTTGACACGTTTGTGAGCCATTACAGGTAAGAGCAATATAGTCAGCATACTCCAAGTCAAGAAGGCTTTCACCTAAGAGTAGCTCCACAGCTTCGAAGTCGCTCCTTAAGGAGGTGATCTTCATGAATTCGTCAATAGCGAAGTTATAGAAGAAAGGTGACAGCAGACATCCTTATCTTACACTGCTGGAAATATTGAAGGGCATCGACAGCTTTCCCTAAGCCCTCCCTCTGTTCAAACTGTAGGCGTAAAGCGCTTTCAGAATATTTCCATAATTCCTTGCACACCTTCCTTTAGCAGACAACCTCAAAGATCACATGGTACCATCAATTCGAAAGCACTTTTGATGTCCAGCAACATGACTACAGTGGCAACCAACATATGTTATCGTGCACCAAACACTGACGCAAAGTAAACAAGTGATCGATGCAGCCTCAACCTGGACTAAACACGGCTTAGTCTTCACGAATCTGGCCTTCACGAGTGCTAGTCAGTCTATGAAGGATGACAGAGGCAAGCAGTTTGGAGGTAATGGAGATCAGACTGATTCCTGTATGGTTGCTGCACTCCGAATGTGTGCTTCCTTTGAACATCGAGACAATAACTGTTGTGTGGGAGTCCCGCGACTATTTCCATCCACGAACGGTACTGAGAACAAGAACGACCAGGGTCGACGATTCAAGGATTCCCTTACAGAAGGAAACCACTTCGTTATATAGCCTAACGCACAAATATGAATCCAACCAGGGTACGGAAAGCGGGCCGACAATTATAGCCAATAAGAACTGAACAACTGAGAAGCCAATCAAATGCACATCACGAACTGAAGTGAGAATGATAGCGTCGGAGTATGGCTGCGATCTGAAGGCAAAAAACAATTCCAAATAGTCAAGAGGGATAGTGAAATTATGCGTTAAAACAAACATCGGTGAACCACCATAGCAAAACGAAAGTCTGCAATCATTAACGGCTGCACAAGCATAACAGCATTTTGATTGTGCCTCTAACACCTTCTTTTTAAACGTTAGTTACCTGAAGGATGTGTACCTTTTCCGTCAGGGGTCCATTTGGAATGACTGAACCAAGCGTCTTCTCCTTTTCTGCCACACCTGTGTTTCATTTCCCGGGTTTTCCAAAGGCAGTGTGTATTATCCGGCAAAATCCATCGGTTTGCCATTGTCCAGTATTTCAGTAAAATCACGTTCGCTGTTATAAGTTGGTACTGTGTTCTTTATGTAGCACGGTCTCAGTGGATTAGGCTATGGGATTCACACGTGTGTACCGACACGGATCTCATACAGTCCCTGACCACGGGGTTGTACGATGACTTCAGACATCCATTAGAGCGTGTTCCCTTGCTGCGGGACGACAAAACCTGAGCTCTGACTTCAAAATCCCTGCTCTGCACTCCATGTCGTCTATTGTACTGGGTTTCCATTATGGGATTCGTGCTGCGCGTCGGTTGGCGTTTGCAGGTCAGCAAGTCCAAAGTTGTTCTTAATGTTCGGACCATAAATGTTTCCGCAGACGACTCCCCATCTGGTGCATTTGGATTCGAAGCAATTTGATACTTCAGTAAGAATGGCTCTAGCCTTTATTCTAGCGACCCTTTCCCGTTCGATTGCAACAATGCACGCTACGTGATATCCCAAATCGTTCAGCCTGTCCATTAGATTGCAGGTGTTATGGTACAGTCCTCAGGTGTTCGATCCCATTGCGTGCACAAAACCCAGTTAACTGATGAGATGTGAATTAAGGCCCGTTATCCAACACAATGGTTTCTGGTAGGCCATGCTGGCTGAAACTGTGTCTGAATGCGTGTAATGTACTGGTTACTGACGTGTGCTGCACCATGATTATTTCCGGTTACTTGCTATAACCTTCGACAACTACAAGGAACGAAACACCTTCAACCGGTCCCGCAAAATCCACATGAATCCGTGACCATGGTGATTCCAGCGTGGGCCAAGAAGGCAGTTTTGGGCTTATCAGCAGCTTGTAAGCATGTGAGCATCATGAACTGGTACGACCCATGTCCTCTAGCTGGTTGTCGAGTTTCGGCCAAAAGACGCAGCTCCGAGCCAATGCCTTCATTCGAGCAATTCCTGGATGACCATTGTGGAGTTGTCTTAAAACGCGTTTCAGCAGGACTTCAGGTATGATGATGCGACCGGCGAAAAAGAGATAGGAGTCATTTTTGACAAAGAATCTCGCAGCGTGTAAAACTGGACAAGTTCTTCTTTTGAACATTTTCTTGGCCAGCCATGTTTTACCTAAGTCAGAACTTCGTGTAGCACCAGATCAGGTCTTGTGGCTTCTTGCCATTAACCGATAAGGTGTTCCTGGCATCGTGACCATATTACTGACATCTGTTTCAGCTGTGATTGCGGCAATGACTGCCTCTTCTGCTTCGTGACTGCCAGTGTCTATTAGTCTTGTTAAAGCGTCCACTTGCCCCATAGAAGCAGCTGACAAATATTTCCCAGTCATATCATAACCCAAGAGCAACGTTGCCCGTCGCTGTAATCGACTGGCTGTGTATGTCGGGATACCGTACTTTGACCCCAAAATTGGTAGGAGCGAATTATGGTTCGTTAGCAGCGTGAAGCGTCGTTCTTACAGCAGTTTGCGAAACTGCTGAACTGCAAAAACTACAGCCAATGCTTCCTTATCAGTCTTA